ACGCAAATCTAAAACTTCTTGAATTCAAGCATTTTTTGAGAAAACTGCCAACATTTTCTTATCCATGGTTCACTTTCTAAAAAGGCCATTTATTTTTGTCTAGAATGATGTACAAATGAGCGTTCTTACTCATTTTGCCTCCGAGAAATGAGCAAAAACGGGACGGAAAACAAGAAATTTTGCAATAATCTTACGCCACCCTTGCACAAAACGACGATAATTTTTCAATTCATCCAAAGCTGGATCTGCCCCTGTATTTATGCCTATTTAGTCCAGGGGAAGGCAATACATTTTTTGGAAAACTCAGTAGTTTTTTCTCGGAAAGCCACATCCGATTCCCCATATTTACGACGGTTGAAAGTTTCGCAATTTTACGGCTGAAATAATATTAATAATAATATAAAACATTTGATGGCTCAAAGGAGGCAAACACCACGTTTCGCATGCTCCTCAATGAGTCTACCAGGCGGCTAAAATTGCTCACCAAACGCTTGGGCAGTTGCATAGAAAAGGCGCGGCCCTACTACGACCTGCTGGAGATTGCGAAAATGCAACAAAAACAGTGCCAGCAAGCGGCTTTGCACTATCAAAAGGCCAGTGGTGAGCAGTTTTAATTAATGCGCCTAAATTCCCAATAATCCAGTCGTTTTCTTCTAGGGATTCATGCAGCGGCAAAGGAAACGGTGGCTTTGGCCGAACAGCGGTTCTTAACAAACCAGCACGAGTGGCAGTTTGACAATGCTTGGCAAGAAATGCTTAATCATGCTACTATGAAGGTAAAAGCCTCGATGTTTCTGAGAAAATATGAATCTAATTCTCGCCCGAGTTCAGGTGATGGAGGCCGACACACAAAAGGCCGAGAGGGGCCGGGAGCACCAAATCAAAGCCACCATATACAAGGAAACTGAGGAAAACCTGAAGCAGCTCGAAGAGAAGTTGCAGAAATTCATCATCAAATCTCGGCCGTATTTCGACGAGAAGGTTCTATGCCAGGTACAAATAGTCGAGTGCACCAAACCAGCTTTGAAGCGAATTAAACCATTTCCAGGAGCAGCTGAACACTCAAAAGCAGAGAATCGAGGGCATTAAGCAAGAAATTGCCAAAACCAAAAACTTCTACTCGCAAACGCTGAAAAACTTGGAACAAATCTCGAACGAAATCCATATGAAGCGCCAAGGTACAAAACGACTTCAGCCTTCCAACAGTCTTATTTTACAGCCTGTTTGTAGGAAAACAATGCGAAAACGATCTGCTGACCAGACCCCGAGAGCCCGGAGTGGGTGCTGAACTAAGCCAAAGCTTTGAGGAGACTCCAACTCACAAAACAGCGAAAAACATGAGCTCGTTGCCGGATATAACAGCCGAACTTGATCGATGCGAGATCTGTAGCGTTGCCACCACCAGCTCGGCTGTTAGCGAGAAAGATCCCGGCGAGAATATTCACGAAGATCTGGAAGAGGTGAGTGTGCTAATCAAGGGGAAGTTCTTCAAACGAAATAAGCCTATGTGGGCTTTCAGGTGAAAGCCATCTTGCGAAACATGCGATCGGAAAACGCTGATGGAAAAGACGAAGATGTTTACGTATCGGAGCTCCACATCGGACACATCAATTCGGGTAATGATGCAATAAACTCAACTGGAAGTAGGCCTGGCAGCAGTTTGCATTGACTGCACTGATATTAACATAGAAACGTATGTATATAAATAATATTGGGTCTTGAAATCTCATTGTTAGCAACGTTTTGGAATTGATATTAATTTTCTTGCCCACATGGTTCCTGTTAATGTTGTAGAGTTTCAGTTGAAGCACCTTTTCGCAATGGAATCTTGATGTATGTATTCCAGTCACAAATTTTGTTTTGTTGTATATTTTCCGACATTTTATAGATTTTTGAAACCAATTTGAATAAGTTAAACTTGATAAGTGGCGTGGATTAAACATGTTTGTTAAACTAGTGGCACTTGTTCTTTTCCGCTCCCGATTTAGCAAGTTAATCAAGTGACAAACAATAAACTTTATTTGTGAAGGTGCAACAGGTATTAGATCTGGTACTAGATAGATAATGGATATTCGGTGCGTTTCAGCTGGATTATTCCTTGTTGATGGTCAAGACGGCGCGAATACTGCAAAAAACACGTTAAGTACTTTTGCGTTATGCAACTGATCAATCTTCCAACCTTTCGCCTTTGTGCATCAAATGGAAGGCTTCATTAATTTGGTCCCATGGCATGGTGTGTGAAATGAACTCGTCCAGTTTCACCTTTTTGGCCAAATAATCATCAACCAGTTTGGGGACACTGTCTATGCTCTTCCACCCTAAAGACCCCAAAAATGTAAAGTATTAACGCGGCGCGTTTCACCACTAGCAACTTTTTACCTCCGAAGGCTGTGCCCTTCCATACACGCCCAGTAACCAATTGGAAAGGCCTGGTGCTGATCTCCTGGCCAGAGGCCGCAACTCCCACAATAGTGGAAACACCCCAACCCTTATGGCAGGCCTCCAAAGCCTGTCTCATTGTTTGCACGTTGCCGACGCATTCGAAGGTGTAATCCAGGCCTCCATCAGTCAGCTCCACCAGGACGTCTTGCAATGGCTTCTCATAGTCTTTCGGGTTCACGAATTCGGTGAACCCGAACTTTTTGGCTGTGTTAAATTAGACGGTAGAACAAGCGGCTTGGAAGCATTGGCCATGTTCTTACCGACTTCAAATTTGGAGGGATTAATATCGACGCCGATGATTCGGGATGCTCCGGCCAATTCGCACCCCAGCCCCACAGCAAATCCAACCGCTCCCAAGCCCCAAACGGCGCAAGTGCTTCCCTTTTCCACTTTTGCGGTATTTAGGGCTGCGCCGTATCCCGTGGGGACTCCACAGCCAAGAAGGCACACTTTATCCAAGGGGGCTTTAGGGTTGATCTGAGAAAAGAATTCAATTGATTATATCCAACCATTTCTTGAACGAACTTTTGAAAATTAAGGCATTTGTTCTTTTGAAAGCGTCGAAAGTTTGGAAATATGCGATCAGTCGTATTGATGAAGGGTTCAGAACTGTCTTTCTCAAAAGTAATGCTAACAGTGTAGCGGGAAGACCTTCAGAGCACCTTTTTAAGAGCGGACTTGTTAGTCACTGTTACGAAAAATTCCTGTAAATATTTGGTTTAGAACGGGGCTACTGCCAAGCATCAATGAATAAGTAACGGTTGTAACAGCCTTGGTCGCATTTCTGGTTGTTTGATTGCATTTTTTGACTTCCAAAAACATCATGGGCCCGGAAATTTCACAATCTTAAGAATTAGACGCGGGCACCAGCAATAGAAAAACCAATTTGCATTTTAGTTGCAAAATAATCCCCTGTCCATGAAAAAAAGCATATCAATCGAAGTTAACAAAACGAACAGCAAATAACATAATTATCCGGTTTAATTACACACTGATAAGTGCCAGAGGTCACAAAATTCTAGAAAGTCAATGAATGTTTATGCAATAAACAGTAGCTGAAATGCAATTAGTGTTTATTAAAAGAACTTTTGGCTTTGATATTAAGAAATGAACGTAAGCAAATTGGAAAAAAATAGCTTACCTTGGCGACTGAAATATCAGCTACCACAGTATACTCGCTAAAGGTGGACGTTCCCATAAAATGGAACAAAGTTTGGCCCTTGCAGCTGAATCGAGATGTTCCATCGGGCATCACCCCTTTGCCTTGAGTCACTCGGATTTTCTGGCAAAGGTTGGTTTTGGGGGACTTGCAGAATTTGCACTCTTTGCATTGGGGAACGTACAAGGGGATCACATGATCACCTAAATTGAAAAGGAAAACTTTCAGAAGATTTATATTTTGAAGAATAAATCGCTTTAAAATGAGAATGTTGCATCAACTTTTCGCTAGTGCACGATTCTCTCAAACGTAAAGAATGTGACCAAAAACTAAACTTTTCATAAAAGCCCACACTCATTTGCAGTTATTACTCAGGTTTTGTTAACACTTTCAAAGCGCGATATTGTTTGCCTAAATACAGAGCTCGAGAAATACTAATCTTAGGTACCCCCAGAACATGTTTCGAGCCTATTAGCCCTCATCAGCTGGGTTTAGCCTGAAAAGAACACCCCCGAAACCTCTACTTTATGTCGCCCATGTATTTTACCACAACGTAAATTGAGCGACTAATAATTATGTAAAGAAAACGTCTGAGGTCTCTGTTTTCACCCGATTTAAGCCGTGTGAATTTTTTGCTTCATGCCTCCTTAGGTGTTTAGTTGCACTACATAAAGAAGTGATTTTCGCTTCCAGAATATTGGGCTTTTCCTCGAAATAAGCATTGATCCAAAAGATAAATTTGAAGAACATTTGCTTTCAATAGCCCTTCTTTTCATACGTTCTGGGAGTGCCTGAGATTAGCATATTTAGAGAGCTGCACCTACTTGCACCTGGACCCTTTAATGATGGCAAAAGTTTCATTGTTCTTCAAACATTTGTTGCTTGTTTATTAAACACGCACTAACTTTTCAGTTTCTTAATAAACAATTATGTAATTTAAATAGAAAAATTGCACATTTGAATGTATTTTTCGATCCTAATCAAATTTTCTGGTGCGAGTGTTAGGTATTCTCTTGAATCAAATTAACATTTAAGAAATTTCGCATACAACAAAAATTGAATACCTAATAAAATGTTTCACGGATATTTTTGCGACTTCATTGCTCCAGAAATTATAATTTTCCTTTGAATTGATTAGTCATGCCCTTCTAACACGTTGAAAGCACGAAGGGGCTCTTGTTTGAATACAAAGGCACCGATTGGAGCGCACCTTTATTCAATCTAGGCCTTGGCCTCTTTAAGCTTCCAAATAATCGAACTTTTTACACATCAAGTTCATTAAAATCCTACGTTTGCAAATAACAATATAGAAGAATACCAAGAAAACTAATTTCCTTTGCACTCGAATGCATTTTTCAATAAAAAACGACATTTTTCAAAAGGAAATCTAGATAAAACCGGATTAACGATGCTCTGGTACGTTTCCAGCATTTAGTGCATTAATTAGTTTTTTCAATGAGTAACCAACTAATTACGCATTTAAATAAACAATTATTGTTACTGAATGTTGTGCAATTTTCAACTTCAGTGCAAATATAAATAAACAGTGAGAATTATTAAATTCCTACTGTTTGTTAATTGGCAATAGCCAAGGCTTTTGGTCCCTTCAGGGGCGAAAATCCCTCAAATTCCCCACTCAAAGCAGCACTTTACAATAAAATGGAAATTCCAATGACACATCACCTGGCTTCACACTGGTTACACCTTCTCCAACACTCTCGACCACTCCAGCCCCTTCGTGGCCCAGCACGACTGGAAAGATTCCTTCTGGATCAGCACCACTTAGGGTGTAGGCGTCTGTGTGGCAAACCGCCGTGTAGAGGATCTTGATACGGACCTCGTGGGCCCTTGGGGGCTCCACCTGGATGGACTCGAATTTCAGCTCCTCCTTGGGGCCCCAGGCGACTGCTGCCTTGCATGTTATAACCTGCAAAAGCGGATTTTGCATAAAACGTTCCGGGGAGGGCTGTGGAGACACTTACTTGACCGACTGTCGACATTCTACCTTGATTATCAGTGTGCTGTTGAAACTGAACTGAGAAACTTGCTTAGTTTGTTATTTTATTTAAGCGACAAACTCTGGAAGAAGTTTTCCCCCTCTTTGTTTCTCGCTGCGGGATAGAACAGGATAGACGAAAATCACTGGGAGGCCATAACCTTAAATGACAGTTAGTGCATTATTTAAATAATGAACACATGACCTGAAGATCAAATAATATTAACTATAGTGACCTTTCTGGCTTCAAAGGGCTGTAAAATTGATGTAGGAACCCTATTGAAGGTTCCTGAAAGCGAAGAAAACTCCGCCAAGGTCATATTTATTTACGTAAAATTGTCAACTTTCATGAATGAAATCATATGTCTGAAAACTGCGATTGATGAGATTTCAAAGTCCTTTTTTCCATATCCTTTAAAGTACTCGAAGTGAGGATCCGGTTAGGCCTTAGATGGTCCAAGTATGAAGTCCTGGTAAACTGGCCAACACCTGCAAGGCGGACATTGCATCAGTACTCCCGGTTCCATGTGAGTTGTTGGTGTTTATTTTGTGCCAATTCGGGAGTTTCCTGAGGATTGCCAGGGTTTCTCCTGATGGATCGAATCTTTTATGACCCAGCACCCATAGGCTAAACCCTCTAACCTCATGCAGTAAATTGCTAGTTGATCAATTTGCACATTTGCACAAATACCCCAGTATTACAGTTTTCTGGCGGTGTCTCCCTTTGGGGGCCTCCAATAAGTTGCCAGCATGTTTTTCCCAAAGTGTATTTAACTGTCATCTACAGACTCCTAAAAACACTGGCCTGGTGAAGATCTCATTAATGTATAACTATGTTTCGTCCTCTATTCTCTTCCAGCACATAATTGGCTAGCAAACTCATTCCCAATAGATTCCCAAATAGAGTTGATTTTACTAGAAGTATTGGCCCCTTTTTAGTGCAGTGCTTTAAACGGGATTTAAAAAAATGGCAAAATATCTCGTTTGAAACTGAGCGCCTTTTGAGGGAAGCCTTCATTAAGTAGACAAAATAACGCATGTTTTCAGATAATGAAAATCCTTAAAACTCGCACAAAACAACTATAAAAAAATGCTTGAAGGACTAGTGGCGTGGATCCTAAACAACTACTTGGGGAAGTATGTAAAACTCAACACAGACCAGCTTAGCATTGCTTTGCTGTCCGGTAAGTACTCATGTAAACATCCCCTGAGTGGATCCCTGGAGTTTTGCTAATTAGGGAAAGTCGAGCTGGAAAATGTGCCGCTTAAAACGGATGCTTTAAGCCAGTTGGGTTTGCCCATCCAAATCCGCGCTGGTTTTATAGGCAAAGTGAAACTACAAATCCCCGTTCGTCAAATCAGATCGGCCCCTTGGGTTATAGCTTTCGAGCAGCTTTACGTGGTTGCTAGTCCGTTGCCTTTGGAAGAGGTACGTGATCAGTCAGTGAGTTTTCTGGCTTAGTTAGATATTTCGGTTTTTAGTGGGACAATGAGAAAGAGCAGACCTTGCAGCACAACTTGAAAATGTCTGCCCTGGTTAGCTTAGAGGCCAAATGGCGAATGGAGAAGGACTTCAAGGGCCCCGACTATTACGCATCCAGCTATTTTTCCTGGTACAGCTATGGCACGGGTTTTGCTTCGGAAATTCTGGAGAACATCCAGGTAAACATCAGCTTAATAAATCAAGCAACTGGAAAACAACCTACAAGTTTTTAGCTGAATATCAAGGATGTTCACATCCGCTATGAGGATTCCTGCAGTATTCCGGGCAAATCAGTGGCATTCGGCATCACAATCGACTCAATCACCGCTCAGAATTGCGATAGCAACTGGACACCGCGCGGGAATCAGGGTAGCCACGAGACGCACTCTTTTGAGCTTCTGGAGCTGGACGCTTTTGCCACTTACTGGACAATGTTTGATATCGGCGAGACCTTCGTGAATAAAAGTGTCGCCGAACTAGTGGTAAGTATAACAAAGCATCATGTGCAAGTAGATGAGTTAAGTGTTTTCCATTGCGTAGGAATTGATGGGTTCGAGCAAAGCTAGAAAAACAATAAAGGACTACATAGTGCCAACAGTTAGTGCTGTTGCTCATCTGAAGCGCAACAAGAGTATCCAACCGCTCAGATCCAGTTCCACTCCTAGAATAGAATGTGATTTAATTTTAGAAGATGTACCTTTAACTCTGGTCGATGTAAGTATGGAAATTTGCCCGCTAACAATGCCAAAATCCCGTTTCTTTCCAGTGGCAATACAACCAAATAGTAACGTGTATAAACGGCTTGGAGAACATATCGAAACTTAGGGCGTATCGACAGTATAAACCGTGGAATTCGGTAAAAGAGGATCCTAGGACTTGGTGGTACTATGCAATCAGTTGCTTGTACCCTGGAGGCCAGCCGAATCTGTGCAGATCCAGAATGACATGGGAGAAATGTTTGCTGAGGGCCCAACAAAACGTTAGGTGAATAATCGCAAGAAGCCCTAGAGGTCTGTGAATAATATGCGATTTATTGTAGTTACGTTCGAGTTTATAAAAAGCTTCTAATCACCCCATCGGCATCCCTGACGACAGAAGAGAATAAAATAAAAGACGAAGTGGAAAAGGCCCGCTGTTATGAAGATCTGAAGGTCCTAAAAGAGGTACGAAGTAATTTTTTTAAATTCGTTCTATGGCCGTGAAAGTTCAAGTATTTTTATTATATTTTTGTTACATAAAAACGACCAACTTTGTAAGGTGGCATTTTTTCAGGTGGCGATGAGAACGGTAACTTTACCATCAAAAAGTGCCGTTCAAAATACCTCCAGTGGCCGCAGTATGCTGAAAAGTTGGTTCCCTCAATGGATGGGCTGGTACTCAACTCCCACATCGGAAAGTACCGCTCAAGAAACTCCCGAAGCAAACCAGTTGGAAGGCGAGATTTTGCAGGTATTTTTTCGGGTGTGTTTTAGGAATTTGCAGAAAGAGGGTTTTTGCAGGTTTTAGCCGACACAGCCGAGAACAACACTGTTTTGAAGCGGGACGCGGTGTTTGGGCAGTTTTCCTTTTGCTTGAAAACCGGCACTCTCAGTCTGTGCTCTCTAGATCCAGAAATCAATGAAACGTAATCGATCAACGATTATTCGGCATTTTACACAGTTTTGGCTCGTTTCAGCTCGCCTATGATTGAGCTGGAGTTTACGAATGTGTCCTTAACCATCTGCAGTAAACCGCGGACTTCTTCACACTCAGTGGAGCTGAGTTTGGATGCCATCTACCTCAAGGATAGAATGACCAACAGCACCATGTTTCCCATACTAGGCAAGCTCGGTTCATTGGAGTCTTTTTTTCAGCGTTTTGAGTGTCGGTGTGTTTTAGTCGGCCCTCCTGGTCTAGATAGAACGTCCTTAGCCAGAACCAGGAACGCCACTGCGGCCAACCCCAGGAACCCCAGCTTTAATAAACTAGACGAAGCTGATCAGCAGCTTTTTTACTTAATTTACGAAAAAAGGCCGCCCCATTCCGGTTGCGACTACAGGTAAACCACATGCCGACTATATACGACCTGAATGCAACCACTGCAATTTGGACCTTCTGTTCAGACTCAACGTGAGAACGAAATGCTTGGACGTAGTCTACCAGCCCAATGCTGTTAAATGGATGCTCAACTTTCTGTGCTTTCCGCATCAGCGCGACATCACTCAATCGAGAATCGAAGCCATGAAGTCGAAAACCAAATTGGAACTGTTTAAGAACTGGGAGCATATCTTAGGAGGGCGAGTGGTATGAAATCGCATATTTTGTTAACTCTTTAACTAATGAAAGATAGCCGGTAACTCGCAGGATTGAAAAATATTATAAACAAAGATGTTCACCCTCAGACAATCCCCATATTTTTGTTTATTATTATATTAATCTGTATTTGGGTTGAAAATTATCATTATTCCTAAGTATTTGAGACGGTATTAGGTGGAGCGCAGTACTTGGGAGCTGGAACTGCACATCTCAGCGCCCCAGATCATTTTCGTTGAGAATTTCACTGATCAAAACTCCGCAATGGCTGTGATCGATTTCGGTAGACTGAAATTGAAGAACAACGTTTCCGGGCTGGAGCCCCCTAGCAAGCCCGACTTTATCACCAAAGAGAGCGAGGATGATGGTAAATGGAACGCTTATTTTTGGAAAATTGAGATCAATTTTGTGTTCTTTTAGAAACATTTCTGACGCCCTGCTCCACGCCGCCGGTGAGTGAGGATTCCGAAGATCAGACCTTGGAACCGGTTTCGCAGATTGAAGATTTGCCGGACTTCAAGTTGGATGAGACAAATTTTCACAACAAACTGTATGATTGCTACAGCCTCGAGCTGAACGACCTGCAGATTCTGATTGGAAAAGCTCGAGAAAACTGGCGATATGCCTTGAATAAAGGTGCGTTTAACTGAGGTTTTGGGCTAGTTTACAGGGTTTTGTTGCAGGCACTTCTAACTTGCATGTAGTGGATAGATTCAACATTTCCCTGCAGATTGAAAGAAGGGTAGTCTATACAAGCGACCCATTGTACCCTAGCTTGACTTTGAACGCCAATCTACCGAAGCTAGTGGGTAGGTTTCCTTGCGAATAAATACAATAGCTCGTCTAAAGGTGCCTGATTAATCCCCCAGTGCATGTAAACGAAAGCAAGATATGCTCAGCTAGGAACCTGATCCAGCTGATTGTGTCAACTGGGATTCCAAGTCCATTCGGCGCAAATGAGGAGTTTGGAAGCGATGTTGTTGATAGCGGCGAGGAGAACGAGGAAAGCACCAGCATAGACACCAGTTTGGAAATGTCCAGGTAGAGAGTGTTTTTGCCGAAAGCACTTGGTTTTGCTTAGTTTCGTCTTCTGCAGGTTGCTCATGATGCAGTTTACAGTCGACCAGATGTCCTTAGAGTTGCAAAGCAGGGGAAGATCGGTTGCTGAACTGCAAGTGGCTGGAGTCAAGGTAGCTCTGACTAAGCGCGCAGTGGACAGCAGCATCACTCTCACCGTGCACAGTCTCCTTTTGGTCGATGCCTTGCAGAATTTCGGACCTGATTTCGAATTGCTCGTGGCCAGTCATAAGCACGTTGGTAGGCTCTGGTTCAACCTGGATTAGCAGGCTTATTTATCCAGCTCTGATTAGGCATGGATTCGATGTCTGGAAGCATCAGAGACAGCGAACCGACTTCTCCAACCTCGCCAGGCAGTCCAGATCCAAACGCAGCCCGGCAAGAAGCCACGTCTCCAGTTACTTTGACGCAGGCCTTGAGTTCTTTGTCGATTGATCCGCCTGATTGGGCTGGGGCGCTACGGGATGGCGTTTTTATGGACTCTGAGGCCTTGATCTCGATAGATATTTGCTTGGTGTCCGGCGTGGATCCCATTCAGATTGCAAATGTTCAGGTAACTGTTGAAAAATCTCAACTTTGGTGGGCTTAATTCTTTCATTTGCCCTGGATAGTTTAACAACCTGGATATAATAGCCAATCAAGAGACCATAGTGGAACTGGTCGGGTTTGTTCGAAGAGTGCTGCCCAAAGCGCAACGATCTTCGGGCGCCAATTTACCCTCAATGATTCCCACGAGTGTGAAAGGATCCACTGAGTCTTTAGTTGAGGATGCCATGTCTACTATAGGTGAGTACAGATATACTATAGGTCTACTACAGATGATAGCAACTGCAAACATTTTTTCTTCGATAACATCGGTTCCATTCGCTTTTGTTTAGAAGTGGGAACCTGCTACTAAGTAATATTTTAATGTAGTCCAATGGTAATGATAATAAATTGCAGCTGGGACCACCGAATTAACCTTTGACTTTCATCGCCTCAATGTACTGCTCCTGCGAGGAGTTGTACGTGAAGGAACCCTCTATGGCAAGAAGATCTGCACTGCTACAATGAGCGAGGCAAAAATCCACGCAACCGTTGCCAAGAAGCTGGAGGTGGAAGGATCGCTTGGAGGCCTTCAGGTGGGCCTTTACTCGCGCTCTATATATTATTTTAATTGAGTATCTTTTAGGTGCTGGATTTGACGCCAGAAGGGCAACGGCATCAACGCATCATCAGCGTTGGGCGCGATCCGCTGCAAGAAGTGCCGCATCCCATCTATGTGATGGCCGGGCCTACGGAGGACAGCAAAGCTTTCAGCTTCAAAGTGGTTCGACATCTGAACAGTTCGTTGTGCAACAAGGATACTGCCGATGTCACAGTCAGGATGGCATCCTTGTGGTACACGCATTCGCCGATGTTTGTCGTTGAATTGCAAAGCTGCGCCACTGAGTTTAAGCAATATCTGGCCAATTTGGCAAGGTGAGAAGGGTTGTTAGGGTTTTTGTTGCTTTTGCACTGCGGGTTTGTTAGGTCCATCCGCGCCGCAGCCACAGACATGGCTTTAGGGCTGGTCCACGCCCGTGCAGAGGCTTTGGCGCAGTCATTGAGCATGAACAAGCGCCTGCCTAGCTCGATTTATGGCAGTGCGCTGTCGTTTACTGAAACAGCTTCTCCTGGAAAGCGCCGAAGGAGAAACAGCAGCAACGAAGCCAGTGCGTTTGCATCAGCAAGGGACACAGTCCTGCAAACCCCTTATAGTCCCGGCGAAGAGGAACACTTCCTCATTGGTAAGGATTTTTTTTAAACTCTAAAAATGTCCACATTTTATATGGCTTGCAGATATGAATCTTGACATAGAGTTGGACAGTCCCGTGCTGGTTTTGCCCAGATCTAGCTCGAGCCCCGAAGTGTTTGTGGCTCATCTGGGGAAAATCCGAATCTCCAACGAACCACAGAATGTGTCCCAAGACTCGATCAAAAATGGAAATTCTTTGACTTATGATGAGTATCACAAAGAGCACTACGACATTGAGGTACTAAAGCACATTCCAATTTTTAGGACTTGTTCTAAGTTTGAAATAACTATGTTGTTGCAGATTAGGGATATGAATATTTATTCGCTCAATACCCAATCGCGAAGGGTTCCAGGCCCAATAATATGCAGGCCTGAGGTCATGTACAGTTGCAGAACACTGGCCAAGCCCATTTTGCACGACACAATGTTGCAGTTAAATGTGCTTCGGGAAATTCAGATGAGAAACAGCAGCGAGTCGATTTTATTGGAAGATGAAGAGGATGAAAACTTGACCGACCAGGTACTTGGCTTTGCGCTGTTCGTGACTAGAAGGTTTAATTGTTTGTTTTCTTATTGCCGTAGCCTTCAGAGAAGATGGAGATTTCCGGAAGTATCGTCACCGCTCTAAAGATGTCTTTGACTAGAGCCCAATATGAGCAGGTTTTGGATACGGTGCAGTGGCTCACGTCGTCTCCAGTTTTGAACGATTTTCATCGCATTTCCAGCTTGAGTTTCATACAGCAGGGAACGTTGACGGATATTCGCGAAGAAGATACTGGTAAAAATTAAATATTTCTGTTGTTAGCTGCAAATTCTTCATCTTCATCAATGAATAACCACTGGAAACGTTCAATTTTAATCCTCTTCTAGGTGTTATCACGTTGAACATGGATCCGCAAGTGCGGGCTAAAATGTTCGCGCCCAATATAGGTCTAGACCAAAAAGCCCCGAGCACTTCTTTGCAACAATTGCGAGTTTTCTTGAAGCTTAACTTTGAGGTGCCGGTTTTCACTGTGGAACTTCGAGGCGATGGGCCGAACGGCGAACAGGGACTGGTCGATTTGAGTTTCCGCGATTTCGTTTTCAACTACGAGAAATGCCACAAGTTTGAGACCAATGTGCAAGTGTCTTTGAAGTCGATTTTCATGGAGGATTTATTGCAACCGGATGGGTCCAGGTACTAATATAAATGCTTGGTTTTGCTAGGTTTAATTGAATGATTCTTAACAGGCAACGTTCAATGGTGATTTCTTCGAACAGCTCCGATCCTCCTCCTAGCACTAGTTGCGTGTCGCGTTCCTGCCCAGATATAAGCGACCATTTTTATATGCACTCGTTGTCGCGCGGGTCTTTGCCTGACCATTTGGAAGCCGCCAATGTCTTTGGTGTTGGCCACATTTACAAGCAGGATCGGATAACTGGCAGGTAGGCGTTTGTGCCTGGTGGATTTATCAGATTTGTAGGTGTTTCTTTAGGTGGCCTCGAAATGTTTATCCATGTACGCCTCCTCCAAGCCCCAACCAAGCGCGCTCAAGGCCCGAGAGGAATCTGGTGCTAATTTCCACACTTCTGGTAGATCCACTAGCGCCGAACTTCGACACCAGATACCATTCAACGCAACGGTCCACTTCAGTGGACTTTAACTGCTTGGACTTGGTCATCAGCGTGCCATCTTGGGTGGTGGTGATTGATTTTTTCAGCGGCAGTTCCACTACGAGCAAATATGGCTCTTATGTGTCCAGCTCCAAGGAGGAGCTGAAAATCAGCAATCCTGAGAGAAATGTTAAGGTGAAATATTTCAATGCATTGGGGGAATTACAAGTAACTGTTGAATTGCAGACGGTGACCAACATCACTGTCTGCTCGCTTACAGTCGGCCTGGTTAAGGCGGACATGGACATAGCAAGGGCGAATATTTCCAACGTGGAAGTATCGGTGAAAACCCGGGGCTGGCATAAGGAAGTTAAGGGCAAACTCGGCTCCATATCGCTGCTGGATTTGACGCTTCATGGCCAGATTTATAAGGAGCGGTTCTTAACTTCTGGAAAGGAAGCGCTCCAATTCAAATACATTAGGTATACAAAAACTGATGTATTCATTTAGCAAAAAATCCTCACCATTCTCCTTTTAATAGGCACACGCCAGATGGTGTGAAAGATTACGACGCTCAGTTAACACTAGATATGGCCTCCGTCATGTACGTCCATACTAAGAGATTCGTAGCGGAGCTTCAGGCATTTTTCAATAAATTCATTGAAAGACAAGACGCGGTTCTCAAAGGGCTTCAAGCGGCCACCAGCGGAAAACTGGCAAGTGCCCCAAAAGCTGCACATATAGGAAAACTAACCATTTAATTTCGCAGGTATCCAATGAGCCGCTTCGCCTTTCTCTGGTTTTAAAGGCTGGTTCGCCGATTATTTTATTGCCAGTGAGTTCCAAGTCCACCAGCCTGGTGATAATCGACTTGGGGAAGTTGCTGGTCACTAACACGTTCAAGTTTTCGGGCGATGAGGGCACTATAAGCTCGCTTTCCGATCCTACTACCAACAAGAAGTGTTTGCTGGAAGTGATGCTTATAGAACTGGAAAATATGGATTTGTACACGGGAGTCAAAGACAGCGAGTTGAACCCGGTGAAGAACAGTTATCCGCAAGATAGCTTCAAGTTCGGATCGTCGTTTATTATGCGCAAAGGGCCTTCGCTGCTCACCAAGAAGGTGGAACTTAAGCTGCGATATGAGAGGAATTTGCACCGGAATTTCTGCCGAATTGTGCCGGATTCCAGCATATACGGCCATCTTTCCACTTTGGACTGCGCGCTGGATTTGCATCAGTACAAGCTAATTCGCGGATTATTGGCTTTCAATTTGGGCGAAGACACCGAAAGGATTTATCCGTCGGTTTCGGACAAAAACATTCCCAATGAGGTACAAGTTTGCAAATATTCGAATCCTTCTGCTGAAATAATTTAATTCATCGCAGCTAGAAAACAAGGAAGAATGGATTCTGTCGTCAATCAAATTAGACCTCCAGAACGTGTCCTTGCGCTTGGTGAAATCGCACTCGCACAATTCTCCGCTCACGTGCATCAACTTCATCAAATCCCATCTTACCATGGAGACTTTCAGCAATCTCAGCCAGGACATTGATTTGGTATCACAGGAAATTTTGCTAGTTGGTAAGTTGTTGCAGGATTATTTTTCCCCTGGTTGTCATTTCCACTCTTCCAGACACGAGATGCTATGGATCAGATCCAGAGTCGCCCTGCAACGTATTCACCAACATTCTGCAGCCAATCAAAGACGCAGCCAGCGGCAGCGATTTGGTGCAGGCGGAAATTCATTCCAGGCGCCGCAAGGATCATACCAAAGTCACCATCCTGCTAAACAACATGAGGTAAAAGACTTGGTTTGAATTATCATGCGAAAAAGTTGTTGTTTGGTGTTTAGATTGATGGCGATATTTGATTGGTGGGAAGCAGTGCGGGAGTATATTTTCCAAGAAATCGACAACGTTCAAGCGAGTCCAGAGCGACAAATGGAACGAGCCAAACCGCCCAACAATGCCACTTTTGAACTCAAACTCAACGTTACGGATTCAGAGTTTGTTTTGGTGGAAAACTCATCAGAAGAGGACTCAAATGCCGTGATCTTGAAGGTAAGGAAAGGAGGGCTTAAGTGTAAGCCCTTGAAAATAAAAGATGGGCTCACTTAAGTGGACTGAAGAAACTAATCTGAGGAAGAAATTACTCTTGATCAAGAACCTTTTGCGTGTCTTTCACCTGATGTTCTCCTTACAGTTTTGGATTTTGATAGCAAAACATAAAATTCTGAAGTAACTGCAACGTTTTAAGAAATCGCGCCCTTTCAGAGCACCACTGTGATTAAATATCGGCCAATCGAGGACAAGCAGTTATCATGCAATCTGAACAATTGCGAAATGTTTTCTTGCATTCTTGGCAAGGAAAATGAAACCGCTCTTTCCATCATAGACCCGATCACATTAAATATCGACCTGATTAAGGATGGTTTGCTGGAAGTGCAGTTGCAGTTTTTAACCGTGCGCTTATCGTATCACGACATGTGCATGTTCAGGTAAAGCTTTCCATTTAGGTGTTTAAATGGGAATTTGCCCCAATTTTAATACTTGCAGGCAAATGCTAGATTCGCTGCCCAAGCAGTTGTGGTCAGGAAAAGACAAGAGCGCCACCCAAGGCCATAAAAAGAACATCCAGACGTTGAGGGCGTTGGGATTTCATTATCAGGACTGCGTCCAGGCTCTGGAGGAATGCGAGGATCGCCTGGATGATGCTGCAGTTTGGTTGACTCAACACGCTAGTGAATTGGCTGATGTAAAGGACCAGAACTCTTTTAACGTGAATGCTATTGAGGTATTTTTGCGCGGCGAGCTGTAAATGAGGTTTAAGTAACGAAACGTTGTTAGGTCAAAGCCAATTGCATATCCATCTGCATAATAGACGATTGCGGCGATTCGGATGTGCCCTTGCTAGAGGTGTCTTTTTCCGATCTGGAGATGAAGCAAATCATCCCCAGGCTGGATGTGGCCAATCCCAAGTCCTCCTCGGCGCAATTGCGTTGCAGTTTGACTGCCAATTATTACAACAGAGTGTTGTCTGGATGGGAACCCATCCTTGAACCATGGATGTAAGTTATTATTTTGCGAGACTTGTAAAATATTATATATTGCTCAATTGCAGTTGTAAAGTTTTATGGGACAAAGTCCCGTCGCAGAACCTCATCAAGAACCGTTCAATAATCCGCGTGGAATCCAAGCATACATTTAACGTGAATGTGACCTCAACGTTCATGGATCTGTACAAGCAAGTGAAAGAGAACTGGACTTCCGATTTTCGCAAGTACGCCTCGTCCAGTGGCTTCAGATCTCGATCTCCTTTCGTGCCATTCGCTTTGAAAAACGACACTGGCAGCCCTTTGAACTTCTCCGTTAACATCAGCGACGTTTCTGGGCAGTTTTCGGCCCCAGCAAATACAGATAACTGGGTGGAGGTGCCACCAGGAGAAACTGTCCCATTCTCCTTTACCACTCGAGGTAAGCGAAGAGCAAGTAAAGAACCATCTTCACTTTCTTTACTTCTTGTAGTAGATAAGCGCAGACACCAGAATTCCCATAAAATGAAAATGCATCAACTGGCGGTCAAAGTGGATGGATGGCAGTGTGTGCAGCCAGTCACTGTGGATAAAGTGGGCACTTATTTCAGGGACACACCACCGCAGATTCAAAATAATGCAAGTGAAATGCCATGGATTTAAAAATGTTTGCTTTGATGCTTAATTTTTAGTACTTGGATATTCCACCTGCTAGGATAGTCTTCGATATAGCACTGGAAGGCTCCGCTAGGAAACTGATAACTATCCGATCGGGTTTGACAATAATCAACAACTTACCACAGTTGATGGAAGTTAAGTTGGAGAGCCGTTTGCCGCATGACAGTGCAGCGTTATGGGTAAGCAACTGCACTTGTTTTCTGGATGTTGTTGATGGATTTTCATGGCATTTATCCGTTTCCAGGTGCCGAGCAGAAGCTTCACAATAGACCCCGATTCCAGCCTCGCAGTGCCTTTGGCTCACACACATTCCCAGATCCACATCAGGCCTTCGGGCATGCTGCATCAGTACACGTATTCCTCATCGGCGGTTACTTGGGAGAAAATGCTCCACACTTCCGATAGAATGTTCACTTTGCGCACTTGCCACACTCACAAGGGCCACAACTATAGGTTTGCGTTGTTACAAGTAGGCATCATCTGTTTTCTAGGGAGTTTGTCGTAGGTTTGCTGCGGAGATAACGAAGGAAAGAGTCCTAGTCGAGCGCAGCACGCGCATGGAGCAGCTGGCGCATCGCATCACGTTGCATCCGACCTTAAAACTCGTCAATCTCCTTCCGGTGGACATGCAGTATGTTATATTGGGAGAGTCAGGCATTGTTAAGGCCGGGCAAAAAGCCGCTCTAACTCACGTGGGTTGCCGTTAAGTCGCCAAATGTTCAATTGTTGCAACTTTCGGAATTTTGCAGGTGGATGCTGAGGAGTCGGTTCAGTTGGACATACGAATCGAAGGCTTTAAGACCTGCTCAAATGTGTTGATTCCTGTTGGTGCGTCCGAGTTCTCCTGCAGAGTCAAGCTGGAGGACAACAAGCAAAGGAAGCTGTATCTCACGGCGGAGGTTTTGATTAATCGCGGCGCCAAACTGAAAGTGCGTGTTTTGTACTAGACTAGAGGGTGAAATTGGGAATTTTATCGCAACTTTCCAGGTGAATATATTGGCTCCGTACTGGATAATCAACAAGACTGGGCTGCCGTTGGTTTTCAAGCAGTCGGGAACGTCCAGTGAAAGCGCGGGGCAATTTGATGAGCATGAGCAGGCCCGGATGATAACGCCTTTGCTCTTTAGTTTTTCCGATCACGATGCCAGCAGCACAATTAACGCCCGAGTGGGAAAACGGGTTGTCTGGGACGGAAATGCTCAGGTTGGTTGCGTTTGCTCCAAAATGCCCTTGCTAATCGCGGGCTTGATTTCAGTGGTGCTCAAACTTCCATGTGCGCAAAGGTACGCAATACAGGAAGCTGCACGTGACGATGAGAGACAGCAAAAGCGACACAGTGTTTATAATTGGGATCGAAGTGCGACCGGGCAGAGGCAAATATAGGGGGACCCACATCATTTCTATCGCCCCTAGATATCAGCTGCACAACCGCAGCTCCTTCAAGCTCATGTTCGCACAATCCTATTTAGTCAAGGACGGGGTAAGCGCTTTCTTAGCCGTTTTTCAGCAGCGTTATTATTTTGAGTAATTTTACAGGCTGATAACGTTCAGAACCAGAAAACCTTCCTAAAGGCGTTGCCCAACTCGTTCACGTCGTTCCACTGGTCGAGTTTGGACAAGGATCAACTGCTCTGTGTCTCAATTGAAGACATCCCCAACTGCTGCTGGTCGGGCGGATTTAAAATCGACACCATCAACTCCATGCATATCAATATCAGAGATCCCAATTCGCGCGTCTATTTTCTCCGCCTGGAAGTGGTGCTGCAGAATGCCACGTTCTACGTGATTTTCACCGATGCGGACAAAATGCCGCCACCCATTCGGGTGGACAATTTTTCCGAAGTGGCCATCAAGTTCGGCCAGAGCTGTTTCATAGATGTGATGCACAGCACCGGTAAGATACAGCGGCCGTTTGAAACTGAAAAAACTAGTTCAAGCTTTCAGCGCGCGCTCATTCAAGCGTCCCGTACGCTTGGGACGAATGCACCAAGCCGCAATATATAAAGCTGGTGGCTCCAGGCGGGATGTCCCGCACTTGCGACATGAACACGTTGGGAGCAGTGGCCGATCTGACCTACGAGAACTTCATTTACATAGCTTTTGTTGGCACGTTTAAGAAGTAACTAGCGTGCTTTGGGGTGGCAAAGTGTAGCTTTTTTCGGTTTCAGTGCGCCCAAAGGGAAGGAGCTGTACGACGTGGAGAGTCAAGAGCTGGTGCTGGACGTTGGCGGCAAGAACAAAGTTATTCTTGCGCGAAAAATACCTGGACAGCGGTCGCAGCTGTGGAAACTGACCACTGATGGTAAGTGGGAGTGGGAGACTTTACTTACACCTTTAATGGATTTGGGTAAAAATAATTGAACCTTTAGAGGAAGTGCAGTCTACAAGCTGTATAATTTGCATTTAACGAAAGTAGTTTTGTTACATTAACAATTGCAAGAGTGGAAGTTGGCTTTTGCTTTTTAGGACGCTAACTGTCTATTGTCTAATCATAAATCGAGGGAAACGTTCCTAGTCTCATGATTCCTTAACGTTAGTTGAAAAAAAGCAACTAACCCCCATAACTTCTTCTAGGATATCTGCAGCATGAGGGCAGTTTGCCCCCCAATCACCCCAACACGCCAAGACAACAGGACAACATTTTGGTGCTCGATATCGCTGATACTGCTCCTCAACCGAATTACTGTTCTAGGTAAGTGCTCGACCAAATCCGATATTAGAACAAGCTACCTGTTACCACCCTAAGTCAATTGAACAGGAAGGGTAAAGGGCGCTCAAACAGTGATGGTGGTGGGTTTGAATGCAGCGCAGTGAATAAGTTTTTAGGCAAACTCTCAATTATAGATATGGTAGTGGTGCGAGATACCAACCACAATTGTATAATTCTTTTGGCAGACTGACGTTGAAGCGGGTGGATCCTCGTCGACTTTCCACCCAAAGGTGGAGGTTTACTGAAAGTGGGCGGCTTTGTTGCGCTCACGACAACATGTGCGTTCAAGCGGAGGACGGACTGTATGGTTTACGTGAAGGTAATGTTGCAGATTCTTGAGTTTTTATGAATCATCTGAGATTAGATGTTGAGCAGGAAAGAAATATATTAACATAATGAGGTTTTGAGCTGAGAACTGCGGTGGATTTGTCAAAAGACTCCCCTGCTTGCTGCGTTGTTAACGCACCAAACTTCAAGTGAAGATTGCAGATGCAGACAATTATGGATTTTCCATTGATTCTTCTGTGAAATTTAAGACAGAATATTAGTGAATTTTGAGTTCGCTTTGATAACGGGATTGGGATCGATGTAAAAGCACCCTGTTTTTTTTTAATTGCCGAAGTTTTTCTATTTATAAATAAATAAATAAATATGGCAAAACTGAAATTTAAAAAATTGGGAATTTATTTTTACATCTGCCCGTTATCAAAGCAAACTCTTTCATTGAAAGGAGCGTTATGAGAAATTTCCTCGAACAAATGATTTGTCTATTTATTATTTTCCCAACTGTAGATCTTTTTAGTCGCCTCGTTTCCTCATTTTCAAGTCATTCTCCACAGTTCACCTACACGGCTTAAATCGTTTTGATTGATTGGCCCCATAAAACAGCTCATTTCAGTCGTACCAAGTCAGTTGTTTTTTCTTCATCAAATAACTGCGATTTTATTATAAAAAATCCTTTGTTTATAGGAGGCGCTGTCGTTTTAGGGCTGCCACAGCAGCCAATTTGCCACAAAAAGACCGACAAAGGAATACCCATAGAGCAAGCCGTTGAATTCCAGCGATTACGGCCTGGATCCGGCTCTTTATCCGTCTACATTAGCATGGATGGACCTACACAGGTAAACGACGGCTAAATTGTCGGCTTAACTGCTTTTGTAACTGGGATTCCAACATTTTTAGGTGATCACTGTAAAAGACAAGCACGAGACGAGAGCGTACGCGCTCTTAGATGATAGGGAATGGGGCACTATAAGCAAACGGCCAAAGCTGGGCGTTGATGATGATGCTGCTGTAAGTGAAACGTTTGAAAAATTCCCCCAAAATTACCAGTGTGTTTTAGAGCAACGACAATGAACTGCAATTCAACTTGGACCTCAACGGCATCGGGGTGAGCATGGTGTGCCGAAAGGCTCCAGAAGAGCTGCTCTACGCGCATTTTTCCAACATAATCGCTGAAACCATCCTGACTCCCGATAACAAGCAGTTCTGCCTCAGTGTTAAGGATGTGCAAATCGACAACCAAGTACGTAACCTTTCGCAATTTACTCCCGATCTAAGATGTGGTTTGCTGCAGTTACTTGATGCAAATGTGCCGGTTGTCCTCTATGTCACTCCTCCAAAAAGTAGCGATGAGGCGACGGACTTCTTGCCTGCAATAGACTTCAAAGCGGAGATACAGCCGCAAATGAATGAGAACGCCGTGATATTTAAGGTTGGTGCGTTCTGAATGGGTTTCTGTTCAGGTAAAAAACGCGATGCATCTTTCATTTGCAGCATTTAATCTTAAGACTTAAGAAAATAACAGCAATAATCGAGGAGAAGCTGCTGCTGAAGGTTCTAGCATTTATCGGCCTTCATGCCAAGGAGGAGGAAGTGATTAGCAAGGACGAAACCGATCACGAAACTCACCGCTTATTAATGGAAGTATCAGCTTCCAGCTCCAAAAGGTATTTGAATGGAAAAATATATTCAGGCTGATTCAGCCTGGTGCAATTGATCTGGATGTGATTTTTCAGATACTACTTTGGAGTTCTGAAGTTGATCCCCGATGAAATCAGGCTGAGCGTTCGAACGTCCAGTAAATTGCCCAAGCGGTTGCACCGAATCAAAAAGAAACTGGGACTCACGCTGATCAAGTTCGAGGACGCGGCCATTCTTCTCGAGCCGTTTGATCGGAAGCATCCGTTCGAAACCACCCAGTTCCTGTTCAAGAGCATTTTGAAGCATTTCAAAGATGTAAGCTTGAAACCACCGACAAATGATTTCTTTCAGTTTTTAAAATACTCCCATTTGGGCCCAATAGGAGCTGATGTGGCAGGCTGCAGTGATTTTGGGATCGATAGATTTCATCGGAAATCCGCTCGGGTTGATGAATGACGTTTCGGAAGGATTATCTGGGTTTATCTTCGAAGGCAATGTGAGTGCCCTAGTGAAGAACGTCACTCATGGACTGTCGAACTCAGCGGCCAAAGTCACTGAGTCGCTGAGCGATGGGTTGGGAAAAATCGCCATGGACGACTATCATGAGGAGATGAGGCAGAAAATCCGACAGGTTCTGCGGGGAAACGTTTAAAAAACATCCAGAGAAATGTTGAGTTTTAGGTGCAATCTGGGAAATCCTCCGACCATATCCTGGCAGGAATTAAAGGACTAGCTTTTGGCTTGCTAGGCGGAGCCACGGGGATTTTTAAGCAGGTGTACGAAGGCGCCACTAGTGATGGTATTCCAGGTGTGTTTTCGGGAGTTGGTAAAGGCGTTGTGGGTGCGTTCACTAAACCAGTAGTGGGCGTTTTGGATTTCGCCTCCGAAACGGCCAGAGCGGTCAGAGACTCCAGCAGAAGGTAAGAGTTTGCAGCTTAGTGACTCTAGGGCATATGGGTTTGATTTTCCAGCAAATTGACTCCCGAACGAAGGCGATTACCCAGATGCGTTTATGGCCCTGGAAGCTTGTTGCCTAAGTATGACCTGAAACAGAGTCAAGGACAGCAGTTTTTGTACACAGTCAACGGCAAGTGAGTGATGGTCGGAAATTAGCGGTAGCAAGAGTTTATTTTCTGCGTTTTTAGCAACTACGAAGAAAGACTGCTGGCTTACCAAATTGTGGGCAACCTATCCGAAGACCTGCTGTGTATAGTCTCGGATAAAATGATTCGGATTGTGACTACATCACGTGCCCCTGAATTGACCCCGGTTCTTGAATGTTCTCTTAGGTACGCATCGAATGGTTTTGCAACTGAGCAAGCGATTTTTTCTATGTGTGTGTTTCAGTGACCTGGAAAGCTGCAACGTGATTAAGGAAAAAGAGAGCGGCGATCCCAGATACTACATCGAAATTGCCATGCATTATACGGGAAGTACTATTCTAGTAAAGCCTGATGCCATCAAGCGACCTCGGGTGAGATGCCGCTCCGCGGAATTGGCGCTCACCACTGCTCAGCAAATTAACTATGCCAAAAAACTCTACGTGGAGAATTTGTACACTTTATCCAGTGACGAGAACGTTACTGCTTTGGAAGACTGACTCGCCTGTACATAAAATCGAACATTTAGGTTTATTTTTGTAGGTATAAAGCAGACCTGTACAGTGTATATTAGTAGAAAGAGCGATTGGGGGCTGCACAGTTTCTCCGTCGGGTGCGAGGAATGTTTTTGCTGCAAGTAGATTTCCATTTTTTTAGGGCACACTGCAAGTTTTATTTGTCGTTCGTAGTAATGTTCTTTTTTAAAATTTAGGTGTTGACTTCTCGCAGATACTCGCAGTTTTAGCGACTGTTTCGAACAAAACATGTGATATGTGGGTTTGTTACTTTTCTGCATACTTTTATTTCTTACAATAAACAAAATATTTAACGTTTGTTTTGTGCTGGTGATCAGTGCTTTTCCTTACTCATTTTTAAGCCAGTTCCAGGAAATTAGGCTTCGTCGTTGCATCGCTCAAATAAGGTGAGCCCTCGCCGCAAGCGACACAATCGCACTTAGATGGAACTGCCACCTTTTTCTTCCACTTGTAGCCATCGGCGCATTCTAGTTCTACATCTAGCGAGTGGAACTCCGTGGCTTGACAGCAGGAGCAAACCGACTCGTGCATGCCAGTTTCTGAAAGTTTCATATTAGAGGGTGGAACAGAGGCTATGGGTATGGGATCTTCATACTCATGTTGAAGAACGTTGAAGAGTGGCACGTGCCAATGCACTCAGTGAAGTGCCGGATGGGTTCTTCGTTGACGCATTTTCCATAGGGCATCCGGGAAACCTCGATGAGATGCACAGTTTTTTCCAGCTGGATCGGTTGAGGGCTGCACAGCTCTAAGGATGGGTAATGTTAGTGAAATCTGGCAAATTTGGAGTCGGAGTTGCATACTCATGTGCTCACTAGTCGTGGCGTTGCAGTACTTGCAGCAGCCTTTGAGGTAAACGTTTGCAGTCGGGCAGTTTTCGATGGATGGGCAGGACTCGTGGTTACTCGACACCAGCAATTGCCCACCTGCATACCAACAATCACCTCTTGGTCTACTTCTTTTGGATTTATCTTACCCAGATTATCGCAAGAGTAAGTCACGCAACCGTCATCAGATTGCCATGTTTCGCCGGGTTTCTTCAGTTCATCGCTCACGACGCAGGAAGTCTGCACGCATTCCCCACAGCACTGAGTCTCGGATTCCTTATACTCCCAGCCCTATTCGGACATTAAATTTTTTTACAAAGGTCGCTGTTTATTCATTTGCGCACTTACCTTTGAACAGTCCTTTTTGCAGCTTTCCACCGAAACCTGTTTCACCAGCTCGTCCTTATGGGGCTTTTTAACGCAAGTGATCGTTTTACATTTATCCCCATCAGGCGAAGGCGAAGTCTCGCCAATCTACCACAAAGGGAATTTTAAGTTCTAGTTGAAGCCCTAATGTTCAATTCAAATCGTCCATTTATGGATAAGAAGCAGGAGACGTGATTGTGACGATTTCTAAACTCCGCAAATGTATTCCTTTTCTTAAAGGAAGCTCATTGAAAAATGTGGCCCTTGATAAAATGTCCCGGCGGATTAGGAGGAGTATTCAGTTTTTTCCTGCTTTAAAAATTATAATATCAGAAATCAAGAACGATCTGAGAATTCCGAGCTAGTCACTAGAAAGCGGGAGTTAAAATGCATAAGAAAATTAATATTTACTTATTCGCAAAAGTGACTAATATAAACCCATCACTGACGGTTTTTTGGGCTTTCGCCCAGTTTTGGGATAATTTTTTCGAAATCTGGCCATTTTCAGGGGAAATTTGATGGGATTTTTACTTTTTTGTGCTAAAACAATCAGCGTAATTTGTTTTAACGCGCACTTTACATGAGGCGACAAATCTGTTGCAATAATATAGAAACATTTTCTGTGTTTAAATGGGACACTTCGAGAGAATTTGGAGAAGTTATGAAGACTAAGTGAGTTTTTTGTTTTCTCCCAAAATCAGTGGGGATTTTTTAGCGAAACAACCAACTCACTTTGGAATGTATTTTGTCCAAATGAAAAAATTTCCAAGAAAAGTCCATTATTTTTTGGTCGAATCGGGGCCCAAACCGTTGATATTTATATTTTACATTTTTGTTCCAAAACTAAGCTTTGCAAACGAAAAATAATGCTCTTAATAAAGTATCCGAACTATTCCAAAGTATGCAGTGAGAAAATGACAAAAAATGTTTTCAAAATATCCTAATTATCTTCAAAACTGAAAATTGTTCGCACTATTTCGAGCACGCCTTTGAATACATTAGCCAAAAATGCATAGAAGTTGGTACTTATTTAATTTTTACCTAAAGATTTTACAATTTTTTTTACCGAAGCTCGCTATTGGAGGTCTTTTAAGTTTCGATCAATTTTTGGAGGCAAAGCTTCAAAGCGGCCTTTTTCGCGAATTTTGGGCAAATCTTCACTTCGCATGGCTTGAACCTTCGGCAATAATCAAGTTTCGCTCAGAGTAAGTGAAGGAATTTCGAAAATCGGCCATCCTCAGGCTTCGGTGCCACCAGGTGCATGGGGTTTAAATGAGGATTCCAAAAATGTACTTTCGAAATGCAATTCTGAACAAAACCAAACGCAAAGAAACTCGAAGCCTTCGAAATGTGGCTCTTCAGAAGACGATTCTTCTATAATAGTATTGGTGGATAAAGCGGGCTTCTGAAAAATGGAGGAAAGAAACAGCGGTGATAAATGTTGAGATTTATGAGAAGAAAAGTGGAAAATCTGGGACAGTAGATGAGAAATTACAGTAAAAGCAGACACTTAATATCCAAAGCAACTTTAATTGGAGGATTTTTTTCCAAAAACTTCCACAGAACTGTTTAGAGCCTACAGTCGACACAAATGCACTCGCAGAAGAAGGAATTTGTTTCTTACGTAAAAAGAGCACTCCTCATATGTTCCCAATAAGGGCCCAAATAAGAGGTTTGATAATTATGTACCCTCATCAGCAATCATTAACTTATCCACAATGTTCAATGTTACCTTATAAAGCTGTGATTAATTAGTGACCGTGATGATAATCATCACTCATGGGCCCATGAAAAAATAGCGTTTTATTCTTGCACCATCTATTGACCGAAAAACTCCCAAACCTAAATAGGCGTATTTTACTGAGTACCTTATAAACCTCGTCCCCAACTTTGCAAGCAATTGGTTTGTTTTTCTCGCAACATTCCCCATCTACTGTGTAGGATTCGTAGACAAAGTCGCTCAGGTCTTCCTTGCTGATACTCGGGCACTCGATTTTAACAGCTTCCACTTGCAGCTGAAGCAGTAATTTAAATAAGCGTCTTCAGTCAGGAGTAGTATTATTATTAACTCACTGATCCATTTGAGTTCTGGCAGAAGTAGTTCGTGCAATAATCGTCCGAAGTCCATTTGTCCCCAACTGGCCGCACCACGTCATCAACCACACAAGCAACCTGCACGCACTTTCCGCAACACTCCTTAGCCTCAGGAGAAGGACTTTTGTACTCGTAGCCAGCCTTGCACTCCTAAACCCCATTAAAATCCACGTTTTACCGCAAAAAAAATATTTTCCTACCTTCTCGTTGCAATTGATGGTGGAGGTTTCCAGCCGCACCTTCGCCGACTCCACACAGTGGTATTTCTTGCAAAAGTCCTTATCCTCATACCATTCGTCTCCTACTGGGTGTTTTTTGCCGTTCAACTTGCAAGCGGTTCTGCGTACTTTCGGACAACATCGATTGTGCAAAGGAACGAGCGCTAGTTCATAGTCCGCGTAGTCTTCGTGCGTTTCCACTTTTGGACATTCGGTTGCAGAACACGTGGGCTGGTAGTTGCCTGTTCAGTAGCTGTTTTCATTAACCACCTAAACCCGTAAAGACCTCAATACTCACCTAAGCTGGTAAGGGAACATTTGCAGTCTCTGCAAGGTCCATCCTGCCATGTGTGGTTGGCTGCTTTTAACACTTTCTGTTTTTCGTATCTAAAACATGCCAAAACAGGAAATTTGCTTCATTTTATTCAACTTGAAAAAGCATCGATTGTCGACGACGCTCAACCTGTTCACAGACTGTTTCAGTTTTAGTGCAACTTGCAGCAAAAACTAATTTATCTAACACCTTATACCCAGATAGCATTTGATATTCTACGAATATCCCAGAATGTTCAAAAAATATACAGAACATTGCGGGAATATCCTGGAAATATACATGGTTGAACATTCCTAACATGGATGTTCGTGGAATATACATGCATGTATATTCATCAAAGTTCATAAAAAGTATATCCTAGGTATGTATATATTGGGTATATGTGCAGATGAACATGCCAGGTATGTACATATTGTGTATATGTGCAGGTGAATATACCTAGTATGTTCAAAACGAATATTACAGTGATATACATGAATGTATATCTACGGTATATTCCAAATTGGTTGAATATAAATTTTGCGTGCCCGCAGCAGAAAAGTAAGGGCATGTAAAAGTAAAT